TGTAGCTATGATTTTTAAACTTTCTGTATCTTTACAATATTGTAAAGAATGACTTCACAGGTGTAAGCCATTCATTGGGCAAAATTTACATTTTATAGCCATATTTTCTGAACTACTTGTACATGTACATCACTTGCAATATTTCATGCATGAAATGTCTTTGTTCATATCACAATGGTACCTGAACATCAGTGCTTTGTAAGATTTATGAATATTATTTACAATAAAACATACAGACTCTTTTTTTTTAATATACTTAGATTTAATTCCTTCACAAATTTTTAGATTTAACTGAAACACAAAAATTCTGTAATAAAATAATTATGAATGATTAATTCATTAATAAGGGCTTGAATCCAGAGTACTTGAATATTTTCACCAGATTTGGTACTTTATCAGACTAGCATTTTACTGTAACAAAGAACTGAAATCACAGATAATTGGCCAACATTGATTTATAGTCAACCATGGTACTGCAGTCAATTCACACCATGGCCACCGCCTTAATATCAACACAAAGAAAACAATCTCCAGCTGTATTGATGACAAATAGTTGACACATCAATCAGAAAAAATTTACTCTATTGATTTTTTTAGATACACATGATAAACATATAAAGACATTTATAATATAAACAAGACACTGGGGGTCATCATCTGATTTACTATAATTCATTTACTGTAGTTGTACTTATCCATATTTCTTGAATGGGTAAAAAGACCACCACCCCAGCCCACCCACCTAAATCACAATATATTATTTTATCATTTTTCTATGAAATGTGTAAATTTGAGCTTTTTGTTGGTTGGGGTTCAGATACATTGTATGCGCTCAAATCACTACTAACCCCCAAGTTTTCAAAATTCTCTTGGAGGACCTCTCCCACCCACTCCCTTTTTAAGAAAATCATGTGTTTACCAGAATTATGGATGAACTGATGGCCAGGGTTGATGATAATATACTCCTATCATGTAAACTATAGGCGTATAAAAACTAGATTTTAAACAAAACTGTCTTCATCAATATATATATTGTTTAACTCCCAACCTGCTTTAGGTCTTTAACTTTTTAGATGTCTTAAGCGAGCATTGTTATTGATTTCCCGTAGGGAGATTCAAATAAAAACACAGGTTTAACTTAATCCTGTATTAAGCCATCTGGCCAGACGTAAAGCTAAAATCTATGGTAGGTGTGGATCTTGAGATTTAAATAAACAAACAAGACTCTCCATCTTAAACCTTAAGTCAAGACAACGTCCCCAAAATAGCAAAACTCAAAACTAAAGTCATGATGCTAAGACAATTAGCATTTCGCAGGTGGTGTCAATCAATTTTAAAATCTTTATATACATACACACATATTCTAATTCCTGAACAGTGTAGATTATAGAAACAAATATATCCCCTTCACATTTTTTGATAGTTTCAAAAAGTCAAATGGCACCTGAAAGAAACTAATTAACACTGCACTGCGCAACACTTTAAAATTAAACCCAAATTTACATATAATCCATACTATTATTGTAATAATCTTACTGTATTAATCATAAACACTCTACATGCATTTCATGAATTATTCAGCTGTGGAGTTGATATGATCTATACACTATACACTGTATGTAACAATGCAAGAATAAAGAAATAGCACCACTGATACATAGAAAGGAACTGGCATGAGAACCAATAAATGTACGTCACATAGATGTATGATTTGACTTAGTAAAATCAATGGTGGAATGCTTTGAGTAAATTGATCAAAAGGTGCGCATATTGTGCTTAGCGCCAGAAAAAGCAATCACATTCTGATTTGAAATATTGATCAGTATGATCACCTTTAAGCAGACCTGTCTAGCTTTTCTAGAAGAGTCAATAACAGGAATTGCCCCCTTTTAATATGTTTATTGACTAAACAAGTGATATGATAAATCAAATAATGTATATGACCATCTAATCAAAGATAGAAGGAATTGAATGTTTGAGTCTTTCTGATTAATCATGTAGACATGCAATGTCACAATGCATAGAAAATGGCAGCAGGCCCAAATTGGGACACTTTCGGGATTTAGCTTTCCACTGTACAACTACAAGTTAGAATTTAGATATTATAACTGATAGGGAAATCAATTATTTTATTTTTTACATACATTGTAAAGGAAAGAAGAGAGCTGATGATGGGTTTGTAATGTTAATAAATAATAAATAATAATTCACATAACATTTGGAGACAGAACAAGCGGTTGCCATGCAAGATGGACAGAAAAGTTAAAATAAAGCGATTTCTCATACAATCAGAGGCCATAATCCAGAAAGTTTGGGTCCAATACTTGCAAATATTACGTAAAATTATTTTATTAAAACTAAATTACTAACCTATTTTAGCTGAATAGAAGCTGGAAATTGGCCTAATTTAAATGGCGAAATTTGCCTGATACTAATGACATCCCTGCTTTTACACTAGTTGCATACGACGAGCAGCCATTTTGTTGGGCAGTTTTAGTCCAATTTTCCCGAAATTTGAACTCAACCATCATTACGGTATAACGGTGATATATTTCAACGGTATTTAATTACGATAAAAATTGTGACCTCCAGATGGTCCACAAGCTAAGAAACACGATTTTTCATACAATCAGGGGCCATAATCCATGAAGTAATAGTCTGATATGCACAAATATTGAAAGGAACCGAGATCTTTGGGAGATAAAAATCGGATAAAAATTGTGACCTGTAGAGTCTCCACAAACAAAATGTGAACAGACAGACAGACTGACAGGGACGACAACAATATATGTCCATATGAAAATGTGGGCGTATAAAAAAGACCTACAATAGACAGATTTAGCGCTTACATAATGTCTATCAAATAAAACTTCTAAGATTCCACAGACATTGTTTAAATAAGATAACATAAGTCATGAAACCTTTTGCCTTCAGTAGTATAATAAATGAGTTTCATTATTCAATTAACTTAACAAGTCAATAAAGATGTCTATGACCTAGATTCTAATGTTTAATATGCGATAGAACAATGTTAATGGGCTTTACTAGCCGATAATGATTAACTGATAATTCCACAAATAGATTATAACCAGGAATTAAAGTAGGCTACATTATTAACTGTGTTGTATGGTGGTGGATGATCAATCAAAGATAGGTCTCCACACTACTACATGAATAATTGTATTGGAGGTTACAAGAAGGAAATAAATAGGGTTTAATATCCACGGATCACAATTAGGTCATTTTGAGACTAACATTGAATTATTCAATAATTGGCATCATTATGTAGCAGTGCTTCAAAATAAAATAAATCCACTCATGCCTGGAGAAAACTCACAAGGTCGGACAGGCGACACTACTCCTTGTCACGTACAACCGGAGAATTGAAACCACGACAGTTGACTCAATTACATCCCTTATGATACAACGAGCACATGCTAACCATTCAGCCATCCAACATGGAATTTTCATGATGAATTATGAAAAATATTCATGTACATTGTACCGTATACACATTTGGTGTATATCTCTGTCATCCATCAAAATGAAATATAGAAATATTCTGATATTGATAGCTCAGATAAAAAAGCCAAATGATTCTAAATCTATCAAGGCAACAGTGAGGCTAATGTCCCCCGCCGAAATCCGAAAATAAATAGATGACACATATTAATTAATTGCACATTTAGAAGGACAATTATTGTGTTCCAAAGTCTCGACCAATCAAATTGCTTATTGCTCTGTTTACCCTGAGCAGAAAATGCTCATTATCAAACTTAGTCAAGGTATTGATGTAACAAAACTATACACCAAGCTTCATCACTGACACTTAATTAGAACTAAAGTTATCGTGTCCCAAAGCACCAACTAATCAAATTGCTAATCTCTGCTTACCCAAAGCAGAAAATGCTCATCTTCAAACTCCATCAAGGCATTCACCTAATAAACCCATACACCAAATTTGAACATTCTACCTCACAGTTATTGTGTCCCAAAAAGTTGATAGACAGACAGACGGACACATTTTAAAAGTCCCCTGCTTTCTCCGAAAGGCCGGGACAAAAAGATATAGATGTATGCATGTGTAATCTTATAGTAGAAACAGTCTGGTTAACTCAAACCGTGACCATAGAAAGAAATGAATTGGGGTTAACGTCCTATTGTTCTGCACCAACCGGGCTAATGAACATGGGCATATGCCATACAGTGTGCTATGAGGGAAATTTTGCCCACACAGCGGCACTATTGAACTAATCTTATATACATGTAGAATTCCTACTGCATATAGTTCTTTTATGTGCATGCCAATCTGTACATGCCGTGTACGGGATGTCGGTTTTTCATAACATCTGAAGACTATACATGTACCCTTGCCAAGCCCTCCGACCTGGACCACTGACAGGGGGAGACCATCCCGGAAAATCCTGATGAACTTTCTCAGTCAACACAGTGGTCGAAAACAAAAGTCGTGGCTCCAGACCATAGAAAGAACAAAGCACATCCACCGATCAGCTATCAGGACAAGAAAATCACATATGCTTTTAGTACTGAAAGAAGATATAATTTGCAGTAGTGGACATACACAATGACTAAGGACACCATACTAGATAATGATACAATTGTGGGACTGGACATCCCACTTGTAAAGATGATTTGTCATGCAGTGTGAAATAGCACTTTGCCAAATGACCGCCCCCCACTAAAGTAAGGCGTTAATCCTCATTTCATTTCAGTACTTAAACACTGATTCAAGTTATTTTCACATATACATGTATCAGAAATTTGATTTTCCATAACGTATTCTAACCATTAATCATTATATAGGATCCATATATCTACTTACCATTCTATGATTTATACCAACATTATATACAACTGACAATTATACAGTTGTACCGTCCATTTAAATACAATGTACTTACTTTAATACTACATATAAGTCTGGGCAATTCTTTCAGTTGTGCTAAAAAAAAGAATTATAACACTTGACGATTACTCACCTTCTTACTAAAATACTGGAGGGTACACAGTCTTTTATGGTTAATGGCTGACGATCAATGGGACACTGTTTCTGTATTTTGAGGTAGTTCTTTAAACAGCGTTGACAGAAAGTATGTCCACATTTTGTATCAAGAGGATTAACCAATGGCTGGAGACAGATTTGGCAAGTTAGATCTTCGTCAACCGTTTGGTAATAATCGTAGAGATGTGTTCCGTGAGCATCGTGGAACTGACCACAAGTTAAGCACAAGGCAGCATGCCATCGTACGTTTTGTAGTGACATTTATCAACAAATTGCTAGGATACAATTCCAACTAGAAGCACCATGAGATATCACTCTCTTCAATCTCTTATATCATGGAATAGAATTTGCATAAGTTACAGTACATTTTATGATGACTATTGTTTGCGGATAGAAAATGACATCATTTGTGCGATTCAAAATTATAGGACCACAAAATAATGAATATAATACAAAAAATATCTAAAAAAACACTGTCCTTGTATAATAGCTAAATATTTCTAAAAACATATCACTCGTTCCCCTATAAAATCCACTCCAGTCAATGGCACATAAATAGTCTCAGAAAGTAATCCCATATACATGTAGACAGAGCACATACATAACAATGGCTATGTATAATAGCAATGGTGGTACTATATCTACTGAAAGCGATATAATATAAAGTTTTTGTCTGTATTCAGAGAGAAACAGCGATTATATCTCAATGAACTGATAATCAATGCTCAAACACCACCAGATGTCATGTTGCCATTAAAACAAGTTCCAGCATCCATTCAACATTGCTTAATCTAAAGCATGCACCATCGGTAATATCATCAATTATAGTGTATGTCTGTCAGCAGTACACTGCTTAGCCTGAGTTTTGTTTGTTATCCACTCCTTGCTTGTACATCCCTACCACAATCCAGTCTACATCATGATGTTTCTCAGGATCTCACTCTCTGAAAATACAAAAAGAAACCAACCAAATGATTAAAATTTAATGAAGGTAATTACCAATCATCAAAATTTTTGAACTAGAATTAAATTAGCAGTATAGCACTGACACTTCATTAACCAATGTGATTAGTATCTGGGATTTAAATTTTTTTTTACATCTGTATTCAATGTGGTATTAGCTGTAAATAAATTTTAGAATTATATTTTCTATCCAATGTTGTCTCTGCCAGGTGGTTTAGGACTACAAGACAAGTTGCAAAATAGCTCTAACTATAAAACTACAATTCCAATTACCTTTATTTATAACGATAGGTTGCCAGACAATGAAACATAAACCCACAGCAGCTAAATCGGGTTGTTGCATATATATTTTGTACATGTAATGGGGGGGCATATACAAGGCAATTTCATACAGATCAAATTATAATTTCCATTTGAGAGTTCACAATAAAAGGGTCTACAAACTGAAACAAGGACCTTAATTCTGGAATTAATTAACAAAAATTGCTGAAATTCAATAGGCCTCTTTGTGTCACTAATTTAATTATACAGATTGGATGATAATTTATATTGTTAGAGCGTTCACAAGGTTCAACAAAGTGAAACAAGGGCCATAATTCTAGAAGTCATAACCAGAAATTGCTGAAATTCAATAGACATTTTTGTTTCACTAATCTAAATTTCATACAGATCAAATGATAACTTTTGGCTGTCAAGTATTCATAAGGTTAAACAAAGTTAAACAAGGGCCATAACTCTATATGTAATTAACTTAAATTCAATAGGCTTCTTCATTTCAATAAAACAGTAGAACGTTAAATCCCATTTCATTTTGTTTTGTTTTTTTCGTTTCACTAATTTAAGTGATGCATATAAATTTCATACAGATCTAGATCAGATGATTAAACTCTTGCATTAGAGTGTTCACAACGTTGAACAAAGTGAAACAAAGGCCATAACTCTAGAAGTAATTGTTAGAGCCATAACTGTAGATGTAATTAATGGAAATTACTGAAATTTAATAGGCTTCTTCATTTTACTAATTCAAATGATGCATACAAATTTCATACAGATCGGATGATAACTTTTGGCGTTAAAGCGTTCACAAGGTGCAACAAAGTGAAACAAAGGCCTAACTCCAGAAGAAATTAATGAAATTATTGTAATTTTAAAACAATCAGATGATAAATGTAGTCTGTAGAGTGTTCACAAGAAATTGTGGATGATGGACCGACGGCAATATACAACCACATTTACATGTAAGCTTATATATTCATGTCCCATCAAACCTACATATAATAAGATTAAAGGGGGTCGGGAAACACCAAAAATTATTTATTAATAAGCCATTAAAATTTTCAGTAGTTAATTGCAGAAAGTCTCCGAAAATACTGGTAATCTGGTGGTAAAGAGGAGTCTTTAAAATTATGTGGAAGTTAATTAAAGGGAGTCCCAATCAGAAGAATTTCTGGTAGTTAACAAAACGTAGTCCCTCAGAATATCTGAAGCATATAATTAATTAAGGGATTCTAAGACTTTCCAAGAATTTCTGGTACACAATTATTATGCAGAGTACATGTAGGTACCAGTGAATGCTAAGAATTTCTGGCAGTCAATTAAGGAGTCTTTAAGAATTTCCATAAATAAAATGTTTTTAATTTTATGCCTAAATTCTAATATACATGTAAACACAATGTAGGTGAATGCTGAATTGAACATCAAATTGCCTGTATATAAGGCTAAAATGTGTTGTATGTAGTAGTAGTAGTAGTACCATGGACCGTTAATATCCCTTGTAATCGATATTTCAGACAATCTATTTATCAAAAGTAAGGCTTTGATAATTGCCCTCAACATTTCCATATTACTAGTATAGTATTAAACCGGATATATTCCAATTGATAAGGTGGTGATATGATTATATAAATATCTTAACAAGCGGAAAATAATTTATAAGATCCTTGCAGACGGTCACATTTCAAAAACTTATATGTTAATTCAGTACTGTACATACATGTACCATATCACAAACCATCAACAAAATCTTAATTTTTTCTACACAATAACAATTAGAAAAACAATAACTTTACAGTAGGACTTGCAGCACATTTTACCTGTTTCTTTGTAAATAGACGAAATCTTTCTAAAACCAACAGATAAACATCACAAAAAATACAATGCGTAGAAGACGCCCTTTTATACCAGCCTACCAACACACAATCAAACCCTTTAAAACATTAAATGAAACAAGTTTACACGATCAGCATTGAGTCAACTTTAACCTCCAGTTTTTCACCCCTGTCATGGCATGTACAGTTTACTTTGGGAGTTTGTTCAAATGCCGGACAAATTTTTATCAGTGGTGAAACATGATTTTAAGACTTGATACGAACAAAAGATGTAGTCATCTTCACACAATGATGTCAGGTACAGGTAAAACAATAGGAGTCATCTTAACACCAGTCATTTTCATTTAAGTCCACGCGAACAAGTGCAGAGAATAGAGTCGATCACTTGTCTGGCCTAACACATTCATATCCAAGCTTGTTTGTATTTGCACCTTAATTTGTACACCCACCTGCTACAGACAAACAGAATATATTTTATACCCTAAATTAAATACTCATTTTTTTTTGTTACCTGGTATAGAATCAATATATAGGTAATTGTATTCTCAGAATGTAAGTTATCAACTCTAATACCGGTATTACACCTTAAGCATAATGTATAATATGACAGACTACAGACATTAGTACATGTACCGATGAGTAAACTTATGATGAGTAAACTTATACTGTCGGTGTTACTAAATACATGTCAATTCTTCACACCTTTGGTAATATTTAGCTTCTATTACCCTGGATAGAAACTGTAATTAGTAGTGCATGTCTTACTCTTACCTTGAACTGCATACAAATGAATAATGTCTGCACCACGTGGATTACAAATCAGAAATTCACTGATGTTCTAAACTACAGTACAAACAAGATAGGGATTTCTGTTTATTTCAGGCAAAGTTTTTATGCTTTTTTAGAGAAATTTTTAGTTTGGTGGATGGAAGGTAAATTTATATACAAATTGTTCTAAATAAAGATTAAATGACTTCTCACTTCATTAGAAGTTAAGTTATCAAGTCCCAAAGCATCAACCAATTAAATTGCTTATCTCTGGTACTCTAAGCAGAAGATGCTCATCTTCGAATTCCATCAAGGCATTGACCTAATAAACACCGACAACAAGTTTGAAGGTTCTAGCTCAATTAGAAGAGTTATTGTGTTCCAAAGTCTCGGCCAATCAAATTGCTTATCACTCTGCTTATCCTAAGCAGAAAATGCTCATTATCGAACTTAGTCAAGGTATTGATGTAATGAAACTATAAACTAAGTTTCATCACTCTCACTTAATTAGAACTAAAGTTATCGTGTCCCAAAGCATCAACCAATCAAATTGCTTATCTCTGTTTACCATAAGCAGAAAATGCTCATGTTTGACCTCTGTCACGGTATTGACCTAATAAAAAAAACACCTACACTAAGTTTGAACATTCTAGCTCAATTTGAAGGAGAATTATTGTGTCCCGAAAAGTGTGACGGACAGACAGACCGATGGACTGGCAGATGGACAAACTTCAATGCTAAAAGAATTATCACTACAAGGCTTATTATATGAACCAATGACACACAAATAAAAAGTGTTAAGATCTAATATCTAGTTTAGCTGTATAGGTGTACAAGTAAGAGCTTTGCAAATAAATCTATTTAAAGTATGAATTTCAATGATCAATGAATGACAAGTGACCACATATCTCTACATGTAAACGCTTTTAAGTTAAAAATCTCTTGTAATTTGATTACAATAGAAATTTATTTACACAGGTCACAATAAGTGTACACCAGTGAAAAATGTTTTTATCAGAACAACTTTAAATGATAAATGTAAATGGAGCAATAATGAATTTACAATAATTTAGATGAGTGTATGGATGGAGATTAAGCCTTGTACACATATTGACTCCCACGTTAATTATTCATTCATGTGGTAAAAAGACAAACGTATGAATAAAGTTCTGAGAATACAAACAACTAGATCAATGAAAATTGCCTGAAGGTTTGTTCTATTACACAAAAGCGATTTATGAATATATCCCACAAATCACTATTAATCTTGATGTCACATGAGTCACACAACTATCACTACAGTAGAGCTGTATTCATTTATCAATTTTCAAACTTTAATACAAATATTTTTTTTATTCTTGAGAATCGCAGCAAAGATAATCATCATTTTGACAAGATTTTAAATTTTTAGTTTTAACCACCGACTGATCATTACATTAATTCTATAGTGTATCTTTACACCATTTGTAATTATTAAATCCTGTATTTATAGAAAGTTTAAAAGGAAAAATTTAACTTTAAAATAACCACAATTGCAACCGATGAGTGATTCTGAAAGAATAAAACATTGTTGTCCAATGTCCATCCTATGCAAAATGAACTTATTTTTTTAGTTTCATTAATGAATACCGTAACTTAAAATGACCCCCCCTTCCCCCAAAAAAGTTTTACCTGGCAAGACTGTAAAAGAGAAGTATTAGTTTAATTTGTATCCCTGGAGGAATTTTAACAGACAATGCAGCCTCCAAACTGCTCATCAAGATATATAACTACATGTAACAGTTCGTGAACACAGCATAAACAATTAAAATTTCCAAATTGGACCATCCGTATACATACACTTTTGATTATTAATAAACAAACAAAATAATACACAAAAAATACTCATAATAACAACAAAGTTAAAATACAATACAACCACACAGGTAACTCACTATTCAAAAGCAAAATCTGACATCCTTGACACTGTCACCGTGCTTACATCATTACTATAAATAGGGTAAAGTTATATTTAGCTAGGTGCTTTCCATATATTATACTCAAGATTCCACTTAAAAGTGAAATGAAATGGGGTTTAACGTCCTACTGTTCTGCTCCGATTGGACTAATGAAGACGGGCATAAAACTACTCTTATATCAAATTCCAGGGATCTTTTGCATGCACACCAATGTGTACACAGGACCTCAGTTTTCATCCTATCCAAATGACTAGACAGCTGCCCTTGTCAGGCCCTCTGTTCTGCACCACTGACATGGGGAAACCACGCCGGAAAATAACGATGAACTTTCTTGGACAACACCGGGAACGAACCCACAACCTCCTAGCGAGCCAGCATCTTACCCTCTTAGCCACTGTGGCACCCACTAAAGATAGGTTGCCAGGCAACGAAACATACACCCACAGCAGCTAACTCGTCCGGGCAGTCAACAAGAGTTGTCACATATTTTTACTTTTTTCGGTAATGAAACATTTATAATACATTAAAATCTGATTAAGAGTAACAACTCATTAAGTAATTATTAGAAAACCATTAGAATTTGTTTGGTTTTTATAAAGTTTTGCCCCATGCTAACGTTTAGTATAGGAAACTTTTAACATCATGGATTTAGCTGTTCAAGTCATAAAAATTCATTGAAAATCAATATACTTGTTTGTCTCAAGACCTTACACTCTGTGTATGAATCTGAAATCAATCGGATGATAACTTTAGCTTCTAGAGGGTCACAAGGTTTTTAAAAGTGATCAAGGGCCATAACTTTGGCAGTAATTATCGGAAATCGTTGAAAATCAATACGATTCTTCGTCTCATGACCTCAAACACTCTGTATCAATTTAAAGTCAATCGGATATTAACTTTAGCCTCTAGAGCATTTACAAGATTTTTTGAAGTGATCAAGGGCCATAACTCTGGCAGTAATTATCGAAAATCGCTGTAAATGAATAAACTTCTTCGTCTCATGACCTTAAACACTGTGTATAAATTTAAACTCAATTGGATATTAACTTTAGCCTCTAGAGCGTCCACAAGATTTTTCAAAGTGATCAAGGGTCATAACTCTGGCAGTAATTATCGGAAATCGCTGAAAATCAATAGGCCTCTTCGTCTAATGACCTTTAACACTGTGTATAAATTTAAAGTCAACTTTAGCCTCTAGAGCATTTACAAGATTTTTTGAAGTGATCAAGGGCCATAACTCTAGCAGTAATTATCGAAAATGGCTGAAAATGAATAAACTTCTTCGTCTTATGACCTTAAACACTGTGTATAAATTTAAACTCAATCGGATATTAACTTTGACCTCTAGAGCGTCCATAAGATTTTTTGAAGTGATCAAGGGCCATAACACTGGCAGTAATTATCAGAAATCGCTGAAAATCAATAGGCTTCTTCGTCTCATGACCTTAAACACAGTGTATAAATTTAAAGTCAATCGGATATTAACTTTAGCCCCTAGAGCGTCCACAAGATATTTTGAAGTGATCAAGGGCCATAACACTGGCAGTAATTATCAGAAATCGCTGAAAATCAATAGGCTTCTTCGTCTCATGACCTTAAACACAGTGTATAAATTTAAAGTCAATCGGATATTAACTTTAGCCCCTAGAGCGTCCACAAGATATTTTGAAGTGATCAAGGGCCATAACTCTAGCAGTAATTATCAGAAATCGCTGAAAATCAATAGGCTTCTTCGTCTCATGACCTTAAACACTGTGTATAAATTTAAAGTCAATCGGATATTAACTTTGGCCTCTAGAGCATCCACAAGATTTTTTGAAGTGATCAAGGGCCATAACTCTGGCAGTAATTATCGGAAATCGCTGAAAATCAATAGGCTTCTTCGTCTCATGACCTTAAACACAGTGTATAAATTTAAAGTCAATCGGATATTAACTTTGGCCTCTAGAGCGTCCACAAGATATTTTGAAGTGATCAAGGGCCATAACTCTGGCAGTAATTATCAGAAATCGCTGAAAATCAACAGGCTTCTTCGTCTCATGACCTTAAACACTGTGTATAAATTTAAAGTCAATCGGATATTAACTTTAGCCTCTAGAGCGTCCACAAGATATTTTGAATTGATCAAGGGCCATAACTCTGGCAGTAATTATCAGAAATCGCTGAAAATCAACAGGCTTCTTCGTCTCATGACCTTAAACACTGTGTATAAATTTAAAGTCAATCGGATATTAACTTTAGCCTCTAGAGCGTCCACAAGCAATTGTGGACGCCGGACCGCCGGCCGGCCGGACGGAAGGACGGGGGCGACGACAATATACGACCACATTTCAATGTGGGCATATAGATACCAATGTATTTTTTTGATCAGAGACGCATCATATAGGTTTCTGAGGTTTTAATCTTTGATATCATAAAAACTATAATACTCAGACATCGTGTGTACAAAAAGAGAAGTTACAATAATGCCAGACAGGATTCACTCCAATCCATTGATCTGCGAGGTATAATTAATGGTCCAGACCAGGTACTCTGTTTTATCGGTTTTAGTTTCCATAATCAATAAATCTAAAATACTATTTGGTCATCATATAGCCAGACATATAGATACCAAACACATAAAAATATGGCACACTTTGTTTAAGTTTTCAGAATAAGGGCTGTTATCATGTTATATTTCACTAAGAATCAATATTGGTATATTTTTCCTCTCATATTATGCATAACTTCTACTAAATTCAAAATTTGCATGAATGTATACAAAGAACAGCCCAATTATTTGCTTAGGTTTTAAGAACAAATGAAAATTGGAACAAGATTTTGACATAAAATCACAGAATACAGAGTTACCGGTAGATTCAAGGGACTAGCATTTCAAGCTCAACCTGTGATGACTTTAACGTTGTGCCTATATACTGAACATGTAGCTAATAAACAACTGAATTGAGTCATAATACAACTTTTAAAACGCACAAGTTTACACCCTTTATAAATAAGGCAATGTAGGCTATTGTACCGGTAATGAAACAGATTCCTGAAATTTACAACCTTATCAATAACGCTCATATACACACAGACTAATAAGTTCTTGAAAGCTACCATATTGTAATGAAACTGATTCCTGAAATATATCGCTTTCCGTTTCAAATTTAATAAATTTTGTGATAAAGCTTGCCTTAAGCCTGGTGTGAGTATTCTCCCTTTACTCTAGTACCGGTACTAAATAAAAAATGTAATTTTTTCAACAAGTTTACCATGCTTGTTTTTATTACCAGAAATGTAAGAATCAAAATTTTGATAACAATTTTATTTAAATAAAGTGTGCGGGTTTCGTAGATGTTTACTTGATTATTCAGTAATTAATGCAAATCAACACTGAACAAATTTTTTTGAATATGAACTTCTGGTGTAACACTTCAAACAATGTACTAAACAATGCGATATGATCTCACATGGCGAATGATATATATGACCAAATACTTCCTTATGAAATTGTCTCATTTTTCAATCTTTAACACAAACTAGCTATGTTAACTAGCAATAATTGCACATAGTGAAAAATAAGTCTGTGAGTTTGTATCATATTTATACAATGTATGATCCATAATAATGCAATAATCATTACTTTTCAATACAGATACAAAATAAATAGCATCATTCAATTTCTTGTAAAAATAAATATGAAGTTCTGTAGTTTCTTATAAGAAAATCTCTATAAAATGAACGCAGATATTTCATTTTGACATCCTATTACAATTCATAAAAGTGATATTATAAACAATCTGGTTTGGTGCAAGGTTGATAACACAAAAAACTAAATTTTCAAAACTGAGATTCATCTCTTGGTCATTCTGGAAATTGAATAAATGAAAGGGGTTTAACTTTATATTTTTCCGCACCTACCAGGCTATGAAGAATCGAATGGCATACGCTATGCAATGTGCTATGAAGGAAATTTTGCCCAGACAGCGGTGCAACAGTCAACTCTTATTTCAGATTCTAACTATCAAGTGTCCTTAATGTGCACGCCACCATGTAAACAGACAAGGGCAAACCATGTAGGAACTTTCTCAGCCAACACCAAGATCAAATAGGGACCCCTTGGTTAGCGAGTTTACGTCATACGCACTAAACCACCCCGGCTCCATCCATGGGAATCGTTTTGTGTCATTCATAGCTGCCAAAACTGTCATTAACTATTAATTGTCAATTTCAAGATTAAATACCGCATCCACAAAATATATAGATCTGTTAAATTTGGAGTTGACCTATTTGCATAATTTGACTTTTGGAAGAGTGGAAATAATTCTAGTTTTTGAACAGGTTAGTCAGATAGTAAAATATTATGAATGCATCATTAGCATTCTATGGAGTTCTCATTGAATACAATAAAAATCGCAAATATCATACAACAATGTGCTCAACTGGTCCCGATCTTACTTAACCAACAGAAGGCAAGCTGTGTGCATTAATGGGACTTCCTCAGACTTTGTTTCAATGATCTGCTGAGTGCCTCAAGGATCAGTCCTGGGGCCTGTCTTATTTATAATATTCACAAGACCACTTAATGCAATAGCCCAGAAATATGGACTTTGTGTCCACTTGTTCGCAGACGATACACAGTTATACATCAGCTTTGATCATTCATCTGAAACTACCATTGTGCAAGATGTTGAGAACTGTTTGGATAAAATTCACAACTGGATGACTCTTCATTTTTTAAAATTAAATCCAGACAAGACTGAAGTTCTTTACATCGGTACTAAACAACAACTCAACAAAGTAAAAAAGGGGAGCCTTTCGATTGCTGGGGAGTTAATTCAACCTACAAACAAGGCAAAGAACATCGTGCTATCATTGATTCCACACTAACTTTTGAGAC